CCACGGATTGCCACGATCCACCGATACTCGGTAGCTAATTTTCGTCTTCTCCTACCATATAGGTAGCGTCAGAGCTTTTCACGTCTTCCAGACATCTCAAAGCTCTTCACAGAATACACTGTAAGTGAATTGACTGTTTATTTGTGGGCGAAACGAGGCAACCAATTTTGCACAGCAATGTCCCACAAACATTGAATCACCAAATAATATTTTTTTTTCTTGAGGGATTATTGTCAGCCGTGTGGAGTAAGGACACTTTCACCCTTCCAGGAATCAAACCCCGGTCTCTCACTTGCAAGGCGAGTGCTCTAATCACTGAGCTCCAGGATTCCCTACAGGACTGACCTAAAACTAACCTGTCTCTAATACTGACCAGCGTCCGACCCTTATACTGAACAACATAAGGTTCGGATGAGACATTAAATCCTGCCTTCTGTCCAGATGGACGTTAATAATAATCCTTGCATTTGTATTAGCTCCTTATCATGACTTCGAGACGTCTCAGAGCACTGGGCGAAACGTGGCAACCAATTGCGCACAGCAGTGTCCCACAAACAGTCATGGATTGAATGATAAATGTATTATTTGTTTGTGTCCCTGAACAATACAGTGTGTCAGCCCGGCTCAATTATTGGCACTCTCACAATGATCAGAAGGTTGTAGTTTCAAGCCATTGTTAAGGACAATGTAAGGATTATTACCCCCAGAAAAGCAATCCGCCAATTGACTAATAACCAGGTTCCAACTTACTGCGAAAGTAAATAGCGGTGTGTGGAGTAACGAAACGTTTCACCTGCCGGGAATCAAACCCCGGTCTCTCACTTGCGAGGTGAGCGCTCTAACCCCTGAGCTACAGGACTCCACTATTCGAAAATAGAATGGAGTTCCTTCTCCTGGTGTCCTGGCGACAATCCTACAATAAATCAGCCACTCACTCCGAGGCAGTTGGTGGGGAGATTGCTGTGCGCAAAATTGGTGACCGTATTTTCCCAGAAAATACACACAACTATATCACTTCACAGTATCCTATGAAGTGCTTTGATGTGTCGGTGATGTGATAAAAGTGCCATATCATGCAAAGATTATTCTCATTATTTATAATGAATTACGATCCACTCAATTTTCCTTTAGAGTTTAAAGGATTTTGAATCAACCCAATTCTGTAAATGTATGAAAACAGACCAAAGGGGAAAACTGAAGGGATGAGAGAGAGAGAAGAGAGAAAGAGAGCGAAAAAAAGAGATGAGAGGGAGAGAAGGAAACAGAGAGATAGACAAGAGAGAGTAAGGGAGATTATATAAGGAGGGTAATAATTCCTTCAAAAAATAATAATAAATTGGTCATTCAATCCACGACTGATTGTGGGACACTGCCATAATTCGCCCACAATATATAGTCAATTCACTTCACAGTAAATTCTGTGAAGCGCTTTGAAACGTCTGAAAGACGTGATAAGGGGCTATATCAAATGCAAGGATTATTATTATCAATTATTATTATAGACAAGAGAGAGTAAGGGAGATTAAGAGAGAGGGAGACCAAGAGGGAAATAGTCAGACAGAGAAAGGTGGTGACAGACCAAATGGCACGTGGACAGATTTTCGGAGTTTTAGCATTCTCCTCCAAGGCACACAATCATCCAACACAATAATTATTAATAATCCTTACATTGGATATAGCACCTTATCATGTTGTCGAGATGTGTCAAAGCGCTGCACAGGATTAATGTAAAGTGCACTGATATTTTGTGGACAAATGTAGGAACTATTTTATGTTCAACAATATCACATGAACAGTTAATGACCAATTTTATTTGGGGGAAGCGCTCTGAGACGCGACCCGACAGGAGGGGTGCTATATAAATGCAAGTTCTTCTTGTTGTTAGCGATGAAACTCAGAGAGAGAAACTCCATTCTGTTGTCAATAGTACTGTGGGATCTTTAATGTCTATGTGGACAGTCACAGGACTCTGGTTTAACGACTCATCCGTTAGTACCTCTAACTCCTCCGGCTCCGGTCTGCTCCACATCCCCCGCCCCAACTGCCCGACCATCCCCTCAGCCTCTCAGCCCCGAGGCTCTGGAACTCTATCCCCAGTGCCTTCGCCTCTTCCTCCCTTTCCTCCTTCGAGGCCGGTCTCAAGACCTTTCTCTTCGACCGTACCTTCAGCTCCACTCTCGACTCTCTACCCCCTCCTCGCTCCCTCCCTTCCCTCCCCTCACCCTGACCATTTCCCCCTCCTCGCTCCCTCCCTTCCCTCCCCTCACCCTGACCATTTCCCCCTCCTCGCTCCCTCCCTTCCCTCCCCTCACCCTGACCATCTCCCCCTCCTCGCTCCCTTCCCTCCCCTCACCCTGACCATTTCCCCCCTCCTCGCTCCCTCCCTTCCCTCCCCTCACCCTGACCATCTCCCCCCTGCTCGGGTCCCGACCCAACTGTCCAGCGCCTTCCCGACGTGAAAAGCGCTCTATAAATGAAATTGTTGTTGTTGTAACACATCACACCCCAGCACTGCATTGCAGTGACAGCCTCGACTATACAGGTTCCAAGTTCCAATGTGGGGCTTCAACCACAATCGTCTGATTCAGAGGCAAAAGCGCTGCAAACTGAGCCATACTGACAATGAGGGCAATCAAACTCCACCACAGTTATCAGAACATAAGCACAAGATCAACTCCTAATATTTGTTTCTTCAAGTATGTCAGTATGTTATGCCAATCAGACAGAGCATCATTGGGCCTGGATAAAAGAGTGGCAATATAATATAAATTTGCATCGGGGTCTTCTGTGAATCACATGGAAACTACTTTTCAACTTCCACTCTTAATTCTAGATTTTCTGATGTTGATAACTGTTCATAACTTATTAAATTACAAAACCTCGCTGCCTGACAAGTGTAACTCCCACGGTCAGTCGGGCTTATTTGATCAATGGTGAGCTGTGGAGTTGTGTGTGACAGAACGGTGCCATTATATATCCATTGATACTGAGCTTCTGGGTTTGACTGAGCAGAACAAGACAATGTTAGAGAGTCTCCAAGTTCTGCTGAGTGTGTCCAGTGATTGTAAGCTCAGGGGTGTCTGGTCCATCTGCAACAGACGCAAGAACGGCTTCTTTATTACCCTGAACGTAAAGCATAAGATTGAAGCCTTATTCTGAGAGGCGGCTGAGTACTGACACGCAATGCTCAGTGTGTAGCTGCCGGACTGAGAGCTAAAGCTGTTCTTTGCCTCACACCGATACGTCCCACCATCATTTCTAGTCACACTGATGATGGTCAGGGTGGCATTATCCTGGGAGATTGTGATCCTGTCATTGCTGTGGAGAGCTCTCTCATCCTTAAACCACAACCGTGACTCAACAGTGCCTTTAACATCACATGTCAGTGTCACATTGTCAGTGTATTCTATCGGGTTGGGAATGTTCTGTGTTACGGTGACGCTGGTGATTTTCTCTGTAAATAGAATGATAATAGAATCATACAATTATAAACCAGTTGTTATGCTGAACTTTTTGACAGTTATTCTTTTGGTTTCTGTTCTGTTTTAATAGTGCTGTAGCTCATTGTGCAATTCTCTTTAAGGGGGTCCTGTTATAATATATAATATGGTTATAAAATATTGGGCAGTTTCCTGACTCCACACACACTCACACACCTCTGTTTGTCTATCAGTGAGTAGAAACCCGGTTGTTAGTCGATCGGTGGATCAATTTTCCGGGGGTAATAATTCCTTCAAAAAAAATACTAATAATTTGGTCACTTCAATCCATGACTGTTTGTGGGACACTGCTGTGCGCATTTGGCTGCCGTATTTCCCCTACAAAATATTCAGTCACTACACTTTTCAGTATATTCTGTGAAGCGCTTTGAGACGTCTCGAAGACGTGATAAGGCACTGTATCAAATACAAGGATGATTACAGTATCATGATCTGTTTGCCACATACCAAGGACTGACACAGCGGACCTTTATCAGGAGAATTCTAACCCCATCAGAAGGCATTGCTGGAGTCCATAACACTGTAATCTGCCTCATAGCGCAGTGTGATCAGCAGTGTGATCCCTCTTTCCAGATCACCTCTACACTAACTCTCTGACAAGGCTTCCCCCCTTCCAGCCTCTCAGCTCACACCCTCATCCCCAGTACCAGGCGGCTTATCCCGGGAAACTCTTTGGGACGTCCTCCTGACGTGAAAGGCGCTAAACCAAATGCAAGGATTATTATTATTCATAGTAATATTTGTGGCTGAAACGTAGCAACCAATTGCGCACAGCAGTGTCCACAAACAGTCATGGATTTAGTGACCAATTATTTTTTTGTGGGGGAGGATTATTACCCCAGAAACCGATCCGACAATCAACTACCAAGTGGGTTCCAACTTACTGGTGGGTAAACAGAGATGTGTGTGTGTGTGTGTCGGTGTGTGTGTCTGTGTGGTGTGTAAGTGTTTGTGGAGTAAGGAAACCTGCCTAAGATTTTGCCCTGACCTGACCCGCCTGGGAATCAAACCCAGGTCCTCTCGCTTGTGAGGCGAGTGTGCTATCAAATCACGATTAATGGCTAATTATTCAACATACAAGTGGCCACATGTGGTTATGCAATTTCAATAGAATGGTAAATGCTTTCAGGACACGAGAGAGAAAATAGGAAAACAGCCCATACTGTATATCTATAGGGTAGAAACACTATTTCTCTGCTTTAAGCAGCTCAGTGACATGAAATGGAACCATCAGATCGGGAGCAGATTGTCCATTTGTCCGGATATAAAACATTTGTGTGAAGATATTCATTTTAATTTTCTCCCTAAACTGGTGACGAGGTTAGTGGCCAATAACCCGGGACAGGAGTGGTACACAGACAGGTTATTGTTAACTGTAACTGTTACTACATTGTCGCTGTTTTTAAATGGCCTGAGACTGGGGTCAAACTCACAGTGTAATTTCCAGAGTCCGTCTCTGTCACTGATTTCAGCCGAAGAGACACGTCGGTGAGAAAGTGCATTGACTGTATAGTTTGTGGGCGTTGTAGGCCGAGTGCGTGTAATTCCCACTGTCAGCCCTCAGTATAGCTGGAGAGCTATAGTCAGGGGTTTGTTATCCAGACTTAGGACAGTCCTGTTGTCAGAGCTGATAGTTTTATTGTCTTTCAACCATTGATATGACACGTCTGTCCCTGATGCAGTGCACGTCAGCCCCACAGTGTCATTATATTCTACTGACTGCGTGACATTGGGGGTAACAACAATATTGGAAACAGATTCTGTCAAAACACAGGAGAGTATTTACATTCTGTGCATCACATTCTGTGTAAAATACAACAGTTTGTTGGAATCTCAAATCAGTTAAAACATCAGCAACAACAACTTGCATTTACACAGAGACTTTCCTGTGGGGCAGCGTCTCAGCGTTGGCAGAGTTTGGGGCTGAGACGGGGAGAAAGGGGAGTGGACCGTAGGCACCGTCAAAGAGGAAAGCCTTCAGGTGGGATTTGAAGACGATTAACAACAACAACAACTTGCATTGATACAGCGCTCCTCACGTGGGGAAGCGTCCCGGAGCGCTTGGTGTAAAGAGGAAAGAGGAACAAGGGGCGGAGAGGGTGAGGCCGGGAGTTCCAGGGGCTCAGGGCAAAGTGGCTGAAGGTGGAGCAGAGGGTCAGGGGATGTGCACAAGGCCTGAGCAAACCAAGCGAAAGGGCTGGGAAGAGGTGTGAGGTGTGAGCAAGTTGGAGAGGTCTCAGGCCATCAAGTGATTTGGCCATGAAACCTCAGTGATCGGTTTGTTCCTGAGTTCAACAACACGGCTCATCATAGAATCATAGAATCGTACAGCACAAAAAGAGGCCATTCAGCCCATCGAGTCTGTGCAGCTCTTTGAAAAGAGCAATTAATGTCAATCCCACTCCCGGCCCTTTCCCCATAACCTGCAAACCCCTCCTCCTCAAATACCCGTCCACCGCGTTTTTAAAAGTAGTTATCGAATCGGCCTCGACCGCCCTTTCAGGCAATGCGTTACAGATTCGAACAACTCGCTGCGTGAAAACATTTCTTCTCACCTCCCCTCGGCTTCTTTTAGAGACTATTTTGAATCCCCTCATGATTTTGAAAATGTCATCCAAAAGAAATAGATTCTTATGTTTTTCATCCCAACCAAATGTGTACTTTCTGCATTTACAGCATTTACAATATGATTCTGGTGTCAATATAAAATATTCCAAAACAGTACTTGTAACCAATTATTGTAACCAATAACTGTCCATATCATCTTTATTAATCAGCAAGACCGTGAGCAACAACTTTCCTGCTGTGTTCACCAACAAATAGCAACAACAACTTGCATTTAAATAGCGCTCTTCACACAGGGTAGCGTTTCGGAGTGCTTAACACATACCGTCAAAACAAGTCACAGTAAATCCACTTTGAGATAAACTCCTGAAATGAGAGACGAAGGGAGTGAGGAAGGCAGTTCCAGATCCTCGGGGCACAGTGGCTGAAGGCACGGCCGCCGAGGGTGGAGCGGAGGAAAGGTTTTGAAGTTCGGTGATGGGATTGTTTTAAGAAACGATGTGGGGAAGATAAAGAGCTGATATTCTGAAAGGATTAAACTGGACATTGGCACCACCTCCGTGTTTGGATAGTAAATAGTAAATCAGTGTCAGCCTCGACTGTAAATCCTGACGTGAGGATTAATCTCACAACCTTCTGATCACATAGAGATGTTGAATACTCTATGAAGCCATTCAGTCCATTGTTTTTATGTCAGTTTCTTTCTTCTCCAATAAGCCATCCATCCTCATCCCAGTTCTCCTCTCTAACTCTCCAATCCCCTTCCTCTGTGTGTGTTAGTCTAAATCTCTATTGTAAATACTCCTAATCAACTTTTGCTCAAGTCCTGTAGCTCAGTGGTTAGAGCACTCCCCTCGCGAGCGAGAGGACCCGGGTGGCTGACACATACCGACAAATACACAGTCACCACACTTTACAAGAATTCCTATGAAGCATTTTGAAATGCCTCAATGACGTGATAAGATATTATATTAAATGTAGGGCTTATTATTTTTTAGTATAACATTAGGACAACGTGGGCCAAATGGTCTCCTTATGTGCTGTAATATTCTCTGAGCAGTAGTGGAGGATGGACAAATACTGTGTTTTACTGTTTTGTTCATAATAATAATCCTTGCATTTGATACAGCGCCTTATCATGTCATTGTTCTTGACAGGATACACTGTAAAGTAAATCTACGGGGTATTTTGTGGGTGAAACACAGAAGTCAATTTCCACAACAGTGTCCAACAAACAGTCGTTACCAGTTTTTTGGGAGGGAGAGGGATTAGTAATCTGGAAAGCGATTCGCCAATCGACCAACAGGCGGGTTCCTACTTACTGCTCAGTAAACAGAGTGTGTGTGTGTGTGTGTGTATATGTGGTCAAGTGACCTAAAGTTTTGCCCCGTCAAACAATCAAATCCAGGTCCTCTAGGTTTGGGGGGAATGTGCTATGAATTCATGAATAATGTTCCACTCGGGTGAGGTACAAGTGACCACATGTGGTTATGAAACTGTATTCCAATAGAATAGTTAAATGCCTTCAGGACACGAGAGAGAAAATAGGAAAACAGCCCATACTGTATATCTATAGGGTAGAAACACTATTTCTCTGCTTTAAGCAGCTCAGTGACATGAAATGGAACCATCAGATCGGGAGCAGATTGTCCATTTGTCCGGATATAAAACATTTTGTGTGAAGATATTCATTTTAATTTTCTCCCCAAACTGGTGACGAGGTTAGTGGCCAATAACCCGGGACAGGAGTGGTACACAGACAGGTTATTGTTAACTGTAACTGTTACTTACCCTCCACCTTCAGGGTGACTGTCGCTGATTTTGAATCGACAGAGACTGGGGTCAAACTCACAGTGTAATTTCCACTGTCGGTCACTGTCACTGATTTCAGCCGAAGAGACACGTCGGGGAGAGATAACTCAGCCCGGCCTTGGTAATTAGTGTTTACATCTACTCTATCCCCGATCCACTGAAGTACATTCCTGCCATCGAAACTCCAGCTCCCGCTCCTCACCACACCAGACGGTTTCACTGTAAACACAGCCGTACCTCCGGCTGCTGCTGTAATGGGATTCTCTGGTACAGTGATGGTGAACTGTGCTGTAACTGGAGAGAGAGAAAATCCCATTAAGGACAGCGAGACATCGGCTGAATACACATCGACACAGTCCGTCCTGACTGACGGCATCTCTTGTAGGGACGCGGTGAGCAAGTTCTCCTGTCTCTATCGTTAGATCATCTTAAATAAACTCCCAACTGAGAGCGAGTGAGAAAGTGAGACTCACCCACACACACACAGCAGCAAAGAGCAACTACCCCGAGTCGTGCTGTCTGCATCCTGACCTCAGCCTATGTCCTGGTCACTCAGTCACTGAGCAGCCGGTGTCCTGGTCACTCAGTCACTGAGCAGCCGGTGTCCTGGTCACTCAGTCACTGAGCAGCCGGTGTCCTGGTCACTCAGTCACTGAGCAGCCGGTGTCCTGGTCACTCAGTCACTGAGCAGCCGGTGCTGGTTACACTCCGTCAGTCAGTAGAGCTTTCTCTTCTCTCAGCTCTGCACTTATTGAGCAAATAGGAAGTAGGGAGTGGTCGGGAGTCACTGCAGTGTGGTTCCTGGTCGGTGATATGAAATGGTTTGGGCATTTCAAGTCAGAACAGGGTTTGCCCAAAGCCCAGGAGCCGGGACATTGTGAGCTGCCGGACAGCAACACGGCAGCCGTTTGGATCTTTGTTCATTTCATTTTAAAATTAGTTTCCAAAATGCTTATGATAATAATAATTGTAATAGTCCTGGCATTTGATACAGCGCTCTCGAGACGTCTCAAAGTACTTCACTGAATATAATGTAAAGTGACTGTTTTGTGGGTGAAACGCTGGAGCCAATTGGGCAAATCAGTGTCTCACAAACAGTGGTGGATAATGTGATCATAAACCTTGCACTTGGTAGCGCCTCTTTCACATGAGGAGAACATCTCAAAGTGCTTCAGAGGATTTGTCACTGTAAAGTGTAGTGACTGTGTATTTAGTAGGCGAACGTGGGAGCTGATTGAGGCTCAGCGACGTCCCACAAACAGCCGTGAAGTGAAGGACCAACACCATGAGGTGAATGACAGCCGCCTGACTGCCCAACAAAGGGCTTCATGTCATTAATCGACATAGAAACTCCGGGTTAGAAATCAAATGTGAATTACTGTTTCCCTGTGATTCCCAATGACACCACTCAATTATTCCATCAACGTTACAGTGAGCAACAGCCCCACCGTCTGTCAGAGCAGCGCTGTTACACAGTGACAATCAGCTGCTTCAAGAGGGAATATTGAGGGGTAAAAGTCTAAACATTTTGTGCCGATCACAAGATCACAAGATCACAAGATCACAAGATTAGTTTGGATCAACAAAGGCCTTTTGGCCGTCTGATCTCATCCCTTCAGCTCAGGCGCCCAACCAACACTTTGGGATGTCCTCCTGACGTGAAAGGCTCTATATAGACACCAGAGACCCAGAGACATTTACAGCACAGAAGGAGGCCATTCAGTCAATCTATCTCTGGGAATTTCCATGTGTAGGTGGGATGCACGGAATTCTCAGCCTAACACAGAGCCTGGAGAGGGCCGGAGTGATGGGTACAGGGTTTAGTGTGTGATAGGGAGCCAGTGGGGCCTGGCGAGGGCGGGGGTGATGGGGTACAGGGTTTAGTGTGTGATAGGGAGCCAGTGGGGCCTGGCGAGGGCGGGGGTGGGTGATGCGGTACAGAGCTTAGTGTGTGATAGGGATGTCTCGAAGGTGTGATAAGCGCTATATCAAAGGCCAGGATTATTATTATTATTATTCAGGTATAAGTGTTTGCTCCTGGTCAAATTCTATAGACTTTTCAGTCACACTGAGCAGAATATGATCACAGCTCAGCCAGAGATTGGCAAATAAAACAACATCAAGTAAGGCTGTAAGAAGACTGTGCCAGTCCTGCTCGTCACTGGGCGTACAGTGTGGTGGGCACTGCCCAGCCCTGGGCTAACACTGTGGTGGGCACTGCCCAGCCCTGGGCTAACAGTGTGGTGGGCACTGCCCAGCCCTGGGCTAACAGTGTGGTGGGCACTGCCCAGCCCTGGGCTAACAGTGTGGTGGGCACTGCCCAGTCTTGGGCTAACAGTGTGGTGGGCACTGCCCAGCCCTGGGCTAACAGTGCGGTGGGCACTGCCCAGCCCTGGGCTAACAGTGTGGTGGGCACTGCCCAGCCCTGGGCTAACAGTGTGGTGGGCACTGCCCAGCCCTGGGCTAACAGTGTGGTGGGCACTGCCCAGCCCTGGGCTAACAGTGTGGTGGGCACTGCCCAGCCCTGGGCTAACAGTGTGGTGGGCGCTGCCCAGCCCTGGGCTAACAGTGTGGTGGGCACTGCCCAGCCCTGGGCTAACAGTGTGTGGGCACTGCCCAGCCCTGGGCTAACAGTGTGGTGGGCACTGCCCAGCCCTGGGCTAACAGTGTCCTTTTGCCCTGAGGCTGACAAGCCATTGGCGCTGGGGCTGCAGTAACCTCTCTTGGGGAGCAGCTAAAATTGCCCTTTGTCCTTTCTGATGAAAAGTTCCTTTGCACTGAGCCCAGTGAGTGGCTTTGTTATTTATTCCTTATTTAATGAACTTTGTTCTCAGCCCAAACCAAACTTGACTTGGACCTTTGACACAGGGAGTGAATCTGGGCCCCATATGGACTGTGCAATGCTACGCAGTGGGGGTGGGGGGAGCTGGAGCCAACCCACAGCGGAGTGTGGGGCTACAGGAAGAGTGTGTGGTGTTGGACCAGTGAGATCCCAGTCCTGAGTTCATAATCTATTTGTTGTGCTTACAACCCATTACCCCACTGGGAGTGTTGCTGGTGTACTTGGAGCAAACTGGGAACACCCTGGGGTGCCGGGAACACCCTGGGGTGCCGGGAACACCCTGGGGTGCCGGGAACACCCTGGGGTGCCGGGAACACCCTGGGGCGCCGGGAACACCCTGGGGCGCCGGGAACACCCTGGGGTGCCGGGAACACCCTGGGGTGCCGGGAACACCCTGGGGTGCAGGGAACACCCTGGGGTGCCGGGAACACCCTGGGGTGCCGGGAACGCCCTGGGGTGCCGGGAACGCCCTGGGGTGCCGGGAACACCCTGGGGCGCCGGGAACACCCTGGGGTGCCGGGAACACCCTGGGCTGCCGGGAACACCCTGAGGTGCTGAGATATATCCTTTGTGTTTTGCCGTCTTCAACCTTGAGCCCTGTAGCTCAGTGGTGAGAGCGCTCACCTCACACGGGAGAGGACCAGGGTTTGAATCCCGGGCCGGGCAAACACTGTGCAAGTTTCCTTACTCCACACACCTCTGTTTATCAGCAGTAAGTATGAAGCCGGTCCTTAGTCCATTGGCGGATCACTTTTCTGGGGTTAATAATTTCTTCAAAATAATAATAACTTTGGTCCCTTAAACTACGACTGTTTGTGGGACGTCGCTGTGTGCAATTGGCGCCGTGTTTCACCCACAAATACACTTTACAGTATATTCTGTGAAGCGCTTTGAGACATCGAGAAGACGTGATAAGGCGCTATATCAACTGAAAGGATTGTTATTATTATTATCATCAACAAATGACATTTACACAGCGAGTTTCACGGCGGGAGGACGTCCCAAAGCGCTGGACAGTCAGGGATTTGGACCCGAGTGGGGGTGGGGAGGAGGGTTTGGGATCAGGAGGGGGTGGAGGTGGGGAGGGTGGGGGTAGGAGGGTGACTGAAGGTGCGGTTGGTTGAAGAGGAGGGATTTGAGCCGAGTCTTGAAGGAGGTAAAGGAGAGGCGGAGAGACTGTGGGATGGAGTGCCGTACAACAACAACAACAAGATTCCATTTACAGAGCGCCTTTCACGTCGGGAGGACGTCCCAAAGCGCTGGACAGTTGGGTCGGGACCCGAGCATTGGGGGGAAATGGTCAGAGTGAGGGGAGGGAGTGAGGAGGGGGAAAATGGTCAGGGTGAGGGGAGGGAAGGGAGGGAGCGAGGAGGGGGCAAGTGGTCAGAGTGAGGGGAGGGAGGGAGGGAACGAGGAGGGGGGAAATGGTCAGGGTGAGGGGAGGGAAGGGAGGGAGCGAGGAGGGAGTGGAGAGTCGAAAGTGGAGCTGAAGGTTTGGTCAAAGAGAAAGGCCTTGAGACCGGCCTTGAAGGAGGAGAGGGAGGAATCGGCGAAGGCACTGGGGATGGAGTTCCAGAGCCTCGGGGCTGAGAGGCTGAAGGCCACCGATGGTCGGGCGGTTGGGGCGGGGGATGTGGAGCAGACCGGAGCCAGAAGGACGGAGGGTACTGGCAGGTAGGGAGGAGGAGAATAGGTCGGAGAGGTAGGAGGGAGCGAGGCCGTGAATGGCCTTGTAGGTGAGGATGAGGATCTTGAATTCGGTCCTCTGGGGGATGGGGAGCCAGTGGAGGCGAGCGAGGGCGAGGGCGAGGGTGAGGGCGAAGGTGAGGGCGAGGGTGAGGGTGCGGGTGGGAGTGATGTGGGCGCGAGGCCTGGTACGGAACAGTAGATGAGCTGCAGAGTTCTGAATGACCTGCAGTGTGGATGTGGACCAGAGTTTCAGCCGCGTGAGGGGTGAGGTAGTGCCGTAGTCTGGCCATGTTCCGGAGGTGATGGAAGGCGGTGCCGGTTGTGGTGCGGATATGAGGGAGAAAGGACAGCTCAGGGTCGAGGGGAACCCCGAGGTTCCTGATGGCTTTGAGAGGTGGAGAGTGCGGCCTTCGATGCTGATGGTGTCAGCGCCTGAGGTGCGGAGGCGCTGACGTGAGCCAATCAGGAGGGCCTCAGTTTTTCGCACGTTGAGCTGAAGAAAGTTGTCTCTCGTCCGGGACTCGATGTCGGACAGACAGCTGTCAGGACATCGGGGGTCGTGGAGTTGAGGGTAGAGGAGGAACGGTAGAGTTGGGTGTCATCCGCACACATGTGGGAGTGAACCCCATGTCTGCGGATGGTGTCACCACAGGGGGAGCATATAGAGGGTGAAGAGGAGGGGACCGAGGACAGAGCCCTGAGGGACACCGCACGAGACAGTGCTGATTTAATCTCCAAACCTTATCAGTGCTGATCACCGGTCAATACTGGAACATCGATTGGACATTTAAATGCTATGAAATAAGAGTTTTGTTATCTGGAGACTCAAAGTCAACAAAGCCACGACATTCACTATCAATGTTGTATTTTATCAGTCAGATTTACATCAATAACCACATGATCTGAATAAACAAAGCCAAACCTCCTCTAAATAAAGCTATTGGTGAGATTATAGTGTATTTAGCATTGCACTGGACTTTATTACTAATCACTAAGAAGTCTCAAGCGATAGAATCAATAGTCCCAAGTGAGGGGCAACAGTGTCCTCCTGTCTCAGTTGGTGACACTCTCAGCTCCGAGTCACAAGGTTGTGGGTTCAAACTCCACATCAGGATTTACTTCAAAAATTCCTTAAAATTAATAATAATAATAAATTGGCCATTTCAATCCACGACTGTTTGTGGGACGTCGCTGTGCACAATTGGCTGCCGTGTTTCACCACAAAATATAGTCAATTCACTTTATTCTGTGAAGCACTTTGAGACGACTTGAAGATATGATACGGCGCTGTATCAAATGCAGGAATTATTATTATTATTATAACACACACAGTCGAGGCTGACACCCCAGTGCAGTGCTGCATTGTTGGAGGTGTTGTCCTTCAGATGAGGGTTTGTGTTTGTATTTGAGTGATCGAAAGGCAATGGAAGGTTTATTTATGGCTTTTGGATTCTCTTTCCCTGAGACATTCTGTGGACTTTTGTTTGCAGGAAGAAGTGATTATTTAAGCTGTTGGTTAATGCTGTTCAAGGAGCTATACATTGTACCCGGGCGACTGTTGAACCTTTTTATATCACTCGCCCTTTACTCAGCCGGCAACATGCAATCACACTGTGATAAGGTTTGGAGTTTAAATCACAATTAAAATATATCGTGGACAGTCTGCAGTCCTCACTCAGCAGCACGGCTTGTGTGACAGCCTCTGACTGGTTAGACAGACGGGATAAGCAAAGCTCTTAACGCACCGTCTTTTGTTTTTGCTCTTGTGGTTCAAGTCCACACAGAGGAACTATCTCCTCTGGTGAGTGGGGAATCCAGAACAAGGGGGACATCATCTTATAATCAGAGACAGGACATTTAGGAGTGAAATCGGGGCAGTTTTTTGCCCAAAGGGGAGTGGGAATCTGGAACTCTCTCTCCCCCAAAAGGCTGTGGATTACGGCTGTGGATCCCTTCACATTGTCAACACTGAGATGGAGAGATGTTTGTCAGGTCAGGAGATCGGGATATGGGCAAAGGCAGTTGGAGTTGAGGTACAGATCAGCCTTGAGCTTATAGAATGGTAGAACAGGCTTGAGGGGCTGAATGGCCTCCTGTGCTCCTACGATGAATATTCATTGACGTATAGCATCTGTAGAAACAACAAAAACAGTCAATTCTGAGGCACAGATCAGCATTTACAACTACTTGCATCTGTACAGCAGGAGAGCAATAGTTACATGTTATAGCTATTAGTTAATAATCAGTTATTACACTGAAGAGAAATATACATTGCACTGAAGGGACATTGAAATGTGTTAAATTAATCAGTACCATTTGGGAGTGTTCAGGTGGACGTTAAAGGTCTAAAGGGACGACTCGAAAGAAAGAAAATAGAGTTTCTCCCAAGTCATCAATCCCCCAAATTAAAATAAAAGGGACTTTGTTTCATGGCTGTTTGTGGACATTGCTGCTGCAATTGGGCAGCTGTGTGAGAATCATAGCATTATGCAGCACAGAAGGAGGCCATTCGGCCCATCATGTCTGTTCCGGCTCTTTGAAAAGGGCTTCCAAATCAATCCCATTCCCCTACTCTCTGACCAAGAATAATTATTAATATTATTTACCTTCTCCCTCATGATCTTGTCCTCCTGACGTACTGGCGTCAGCATTAGGTTCTGGTGGTAATCTCTGTTGGCAAATGAAGAAAGAAAATGTTTTTATTTGTTTTTGATTTATTATAATGGCAGTGGAGACAATTAAAAGCCTCTAAATCTACACTGCCAACCCCTCCTAAAGCTAAACTTCTAATAATAATAATATTCCTTGCATTTGATATCGGGCCTTATCATAGAGTGCCTTATCACGTCTTCAAGACGTCTCTGTAAAGTGAATTGATTGATATTTTGTGGGCAAAATACGGCAGCCAATTGTGCACAGTGGTGACCCACAAACAGTCGTTGATTGTGTGACCAATATAATATTATTATTTTAATTTGAAGAATTATTAGCCCCATAAAGAGTGCTTGACTAACTCGCTCACCAATTGACTAACCGGGTTCCTCCTCACCGCAAGGTAAACAGAGACGTATGGCATAAAGAAACTTGCCCAATGTTTCGTGCCAGGAATCAAACCCAGTTCCTCTCGCTTGTGAGGCGAGTGCTCTAACCACTGAGCTACAGGACTCTGAAATGAATCCTAATTTCTTGCTATTTCCCCATTCTCTTCACATTATTCCACTTACAATCCTTGTCCAGTTCCCTTTTATATGCAGTTACGGTCACTTTTAGCAAAGAGTTTCTATGGGGAATACAATACAACAACACAATACAAATTTACATTTATCAGCGCCTTTCACATCAGGTGGACGTCCAAGCACTTAACGGTAATGGCTCGGCTCCCGAGATAGGGGTGGGAGCTGAGCGGGTGGAGAGATAGGTCTGAGACCTACCGCCCTAAGTCGAGGTAAATCTGTGCAAATAAGCATTTACTTAACTTCTCTTTAGCTCTTTAACTCTCCCCCTTTATGCCCCCGTTGGGTTCTATTCTATAGTGCAATGAGCTTTTATTATCATTATCGTAGAGTCCTGTAGCTCAGTGGTTAGAGCACTTGTCTCGCAAGCGGGAGATCTGGGTTGGATTCCCGGCAAAGAGAAACGTTGGTCAAGTTTCCTTACTCCACACGTCTCTGTTTACCGAACAGTAAGTAGGAGCCCAGTTGTTAGTGGATTAGTGGATCGCTTTTTCGGGGGTAATAATTCCTTTAAAAAAAATCGTAAATTGGTCACTACCAACACGACTGTTTGTGGGACACTGCTGTGAGCAATTGGCTGCTGTGTTTCTCCCACAAAATATACAGTCAATGAGTACTTTGCATCTATCTTCACAAAAGAAGAGGATGCAGCCAATGCCACATTGGAGGAAAAGGGAAGAGAAATTGCAAAAGGGAAGAAAATTCCATTTTCGGAGGAAAAGGGAAGAGAAATTGGATAAGATACGAATAGACTGAGAGGAGGTATTAAAAAGGTTGATGGTGCTCAAGGTGATAAGGCACTCGCTCCAGATGGGATGCGTCCTGGGCTACTGAGCGAAGTAAGGGTGGAAATAACGGAGGCTGTGGCCACAATCTTTCAATCCTCCTTGGACACCGGTGGTGCCAGAGGACTGGAGGTCTGCAAATGTTACTGCCCTATACAAAAGGGCAGAAGGATAAAGCCAGAACTACAGGCCCGTCAGCCTCATGTCAGCCTTCTGTGCTGCATAATTCTGTGATTCTATGATGATTCTGATTCACTTGACAGTCAATTCTGTGAAGTCAGAAGTCTGTGAATTCATCAGCAGGACCTGGGGCAGACCAGTCACTGGGGGCAGGGAATCCTCCCCCTCAGCTCCTGTTAACACAGCAGCCAAAGCCCTGACTAACGGGGAGGGTGGTCCTCGCTGGACAAGCAGCGGGAAAGCGAGTCCATGGCAAACTATGTGGGTTTAGCTGGTTAGCCTCCAGCAGTTACCCCAACGCACACTCTGGGGTCCACAATGATTATGGAATATAATTAATTTCAGGCATTCGATTATATAGAATCATAGAATATGGGGGAGGAGAAGCCGGTGGGGTCAGTGGAGTACAAGTTAATTGGTGAGTTTCAGGAGAGAAAACAGTGTTTCCATCACATGACAAACAGTGCGATCAAAGCTCGAACATTAATGCTCTCCAACAATTGTTTTACTCACTTTGTTCTTTGCTCTTTGCACATTGTTGATGTTCTCATACACTTTGGGAGCAGCAACTGTAAGAATAGGTGTCAAGTCATCCAAACTCTGCAGCTCATGTCCTCCCCCGGACCAGGCTCCGTGACCCCATCACCCCCACCCTCGTCCGGCTCCACTGGATCCCCATCACTGAGAGGACAGAGATCAACATCCTCATCCTCACCTTCAAAGCCCTCCATGGCCTTCCCTCTTGCTACCTCTGCCCTGCTAACCCCTTACCAACCTGTCCCCTCCCTCCGCTCAGTGGGCTCCGACCTGCTTCACATCCTCCGCTGACCACCCCACCATCGACGGTCGGGCTCCAGCCTCTCTGCCCCCACCTTCTGGAACTCCATCCCACAGTCCCTCTGTCTCACCCCCTCACTTGCCTCCTTCATGGCCCGTCTCAAGTCCCTCTTCTTCAGCCGACCATGACTTTGGGCCGTCCTCCCACCCTCCCTTACCCCAACCCCCACCCACTCCCTGAGCCCAAATCCCTGACTGTCCCGAGTCCTGGGAGGTCCTCGCGATGTGAAGTGCCATCGTGTGTAAATGTCGTGTTGTATGTATCGGGTGGAACAGGAAGCAGTCTCTCTCGTCAGGAAGGGGGTTAGGACTCGGGCCCAGGGATTGGAGAGACAGGACGGTGATCTGATCACAGTGGTTTATCTCACACAGAGCAAAGCTGAACCAGACATCCGTAACACACAGAGAGCTGTGCTTTGTGTTGGGTTGAATGGAGATGCTATTTGCTTTGGGAAATGGATGTTGACTTGAATCAATAGAGACTTTTGTGACAAAAGACGGAATTTCTGTCTGTGAATCTTGGCTTTGACCAACAATTATACACCACTTTCTCTCTTCAGTGAGTTCTGGAGAATATTCCTCAAACATACCTGTCAGGTTGCTGTACTCTGAAGATTGTGGTCCTATTCTCTGTTAAAGTCAAGAGAGAACTTGTTTCAATTGCCTTTTCTTAGTAAAAGCTCAGAATCATAGAAAGTACAGCACAGACAATAGGGCACATTGAGGTTTTGTTGGTAATTTTGCCAGTTTTTCTGTCCTCATTTCCTGGCCAACAATCCCCCAAATAGAATTGGTCCTTCACTTCGTGGCTGTATGTGAGACATTGCTGATTTATTATTATGTCTCAAGGAATGAAATGAACCGTCTCACCTCATATGGACGATCTGGGACCTCATTATCCTGTAAGAACATGAAATATAAAGTTTTTAGAACATAATTATTTTCAGGCAGTTGATTATCCAGTCAATAATTTGAGTCAGTTGGCGAGATTCAGGGGAGTTAACAGCTGCTCACTTCATGCCACAGACAGTGAGATGGAACCATGTTGACCAGAGGTTGTTTTAGTAACTATCCTGACCTGGTTCCCCATATGGCTGGACTCATTCTGGTAGATTGTTCGTGCCTCATTGCGTGTTGAAGAGATTCCTGTTGTGAGAATGACACCATTATCTAATTTACCCTCTCATCACAGGTTCATATATTTTTCATACCCGGTATCATCCATTGACATTGCCTCTCCAGGTCGAGGATATTCTTTCCTCAATGGGGAGCGGAAAACCCCATCAGATGGATCACCTTAGGACCGAGATCTCGTTTGTGCTCTCTGAGCCTCTGAGCACTTCGAATAGTCCTTGTATTTGATATAATAATAATCCTTGTATTTGATATAATAATAATCCTTGTATTTGATATAATAATAGTCCTTGTATTTGATATAATAATAGTCCTTGTATTTGATATAATAATAATCCTTGTATTTGATATAATAATAATCCTTGTATTTGATATAATAATAATCCTTGTATTTGATATTGCGCCTTATCGAGTCTTCGAGACGTCTCAAAGCGCTTCACAGGATATACTATAAAGTGAATTAACTGTATATTTTGTGGGTGAAACACAGCAGCCAATTGCACACAGCGACGTCTGACAAACAAGTCTTAGGTTGAGCGACCAATTTATTATTATTTTTGAAGGAATTATTACCCCCAGAAAAGCGATCCACCAATCGAGTAACGACCGGGTTCCTCACTGCTGGTAAACAGAGGCGGGTGTGTGGAGTAAGGAAACTGACTCACCTGGGAATCGAACCCAGGTTTAGTGCCCAACCACTGAGCTACAGGACTCCACTTCTACCCATTATGTAGAAACCCATTCAACCAACTGTGCTCAAAAGATGACGTGTGTTGATCAGAGATAATAATAATAATAATAATCCTTGCATTTGATATAGCGCTTTTCACGTCGAGAGGACGTCCCAAAGCGCTTCACAGAACACACTGTAAAGTGAATTGACTGTATATTTGTGGGCGAACACGGCAGCCAATTGCACACAGCAATGTCCCCCAAACAGTCGTGGATTGAAAATTACCAATTTATTATTGTTTTTGGTTTTGGAGGATTATTATTAGGCTCTGTGTGGAGTAAGGAAACTCGCCCGAGGTTTGGCCCTGACTGACCCCCCGGGGATTGAACTCAGGTCTCTCACTTGCAAAGTGAGTGCTCTAACCACTGAGCTACAGGACTCCGTGAGATACGCTTACAATGGAGTGTACACCTGTACAACAACAACAACACAGCGCCTTTCATGCAGGGTAGTGCCCAGAGTGTTTCAGAGAGTTTCACATTGCAACACAGGCTGACAACGAGCCAAGGGCAGGGGTGGGGGGGGGGTAGTGGGGGGGGTGACTGTAAACACGATCAAAATGGAAGGTCTTTAGGTGGGGAGAGAGGGAGGGGGCAAGGCAGAGGGAAGGTGGGGAGAGAGGGAGGGGGTAAGGCGGAGGGAAGGAGGGGAGAGAGGGAGGGGGCAAGGCAGAGGGAAGGTGGGGAGAGAGGGAGGGGGCAAGGCAAAGGGAAGGTGGGGAGAGAGGGAGGGGGTAAGGCGGAGGGAAGGTGGGGAGAGAGGGAGGGGGTAAGGCAGAGGGAAGGTGGGGAGAGAGGGAGGGGGCAAGGCGGAGGGAAGGTGGGGAGAGAGGGAGGGGGTAAGGCAGAGGGAAGGTGGGGAGAGAGGGAGGGGGTAAGGCGGAGGGAAGGTGGGGAGAGAGGGAGGGGGCAAGGCAGAGGGAAGGTGGGGAGAGAGGGAGGGGGCAAGGCGGAGGGAAGGTGGGGAGAGAGGGAGGGGGTAAGGCGGAGGGAAGGTGGGGAGAGAGGGGAGGGGGGGTAAGGCGGAGGGAAGGTGGGGAGAGAGGGAGGGGGTAAGGCGGAGGGATTGAGGGAGAGAGGGAGGGGGTAAGGCGGAGGGAAGGTGGGGAGAGAGGGAGGGGGTAGGCGGAGGGAAGGTGGGGAGAGAGGGAGGGGTAAGGCGGAGGGAGGTGGGGAGAGAGGGAGGGGGTAAGGCGGAGGGATGAGGGAGGGGGCGGGGCGGAGGGATTGAGGGAGAGAGGGAGGGGGTGAGGCGGAGGGATTGAGGGAGAGAGGGAGGGGGTGAGGCGGAGGGAAGGTGGGGAGAGAGGGAGGGGGTAAGGCGGAGGGATTGAGGGAGAGAGTTCCCGCGTTTTGGGGGGTTGTGGCTGAGGGCCACGGAGGGGACGCGTGACAAACAGGAGGCCGCAGCCAACCGATCAGAGGCAGCGGGTGGTGAATTGGGGGTAAGGAGGTCAGGTGGGTCGGGAGGTGGGAGGGAATGAAGTGACTTGTGTATCCTGTGAAGTCAGCGGAGACATCGTCCAGACAGGAAAGGCACTACACCAAACCACACGCAAGGATTATCATATGATTATTATGTATAACACAGTGTACGTCACCGCAAATAAAAGTGATGTAGTTACCGGGATCTCCAGCAGAATGCCCACACTGTCTGTAGACGACAACAGCAATCAGGAGAATGATGATCACAAACAATATAACCCCGAGAGTGATGGCTGCGATGGTGGCGCTCTGATCCTGAGCACCAACAGAATCTGGAGGGGAAAGTCAACAGATGTTAATGTTCATACAATGCCCTTCACATGGGTTATCATAATAATCGTTAATAATCCTTAATACAGCGCCTTATCAAATCTTCGAGAGTCTCAAAGCGCTTCACAGAATACCCTGTAAAGTGTAGTGACTGTATATTTTGTGGGAAAAACGCAGCAGCCAATTACGCACAGCAACGTCCCACAAACAGTCGTGGATTGAGTGACCAATTTTTTATTTTCTTTTGGAGACATTATTATCCACGGAAAAACGATCCACCAATCGACTAACAACCGACTTCCTACTTACTGCTGCTATCAAAGGTGTGTGTGTTCTGCCTAATGATCCGCCCGGGAATCGAACCCAGTTCCTCTCTCTTGCGAGGCGAGAGCTCTATCTGCTGAGCTACAGGACTCCACAGGGTTTCAGGGCGTTGAGCAGTGACTTCTTTCACGAGCAAACGTTCAGCTGATCGACAGGAGTGAGCAATGTGGGAACGGAGGCGAGGAGTGTCAGTCTGGCTCGGTTGTCGTCATCAGCCCTGGGAGAGAGTGAGGGCCCTGGGATTCTCTGGACCCTCCTGGCTCAGGAACAGGACCAGAGAACGTCACAGAGGGGGGACTCCATTCCCACTTTGCGTTGCCAAACACGTCCCCGTGGAGCCACCCTGACCCGCCCGGGAATCGAACCCAGTTCCTCTCGCTTGCGAGGCGAGAGCTCTAACTACTGAGCTACAGGGCTCCAAGTGTAACTCCCACGGTCAGTCGGGCTTATTTGATCAATGGTGAGCTGTGGAGTTGTGTGTGACAGAACAGTGCCATTAAATATCCATTTATACTGAGCTTCTGGGTTTGACTGAGCAGAACAAGACAATGTTAGAGAGTCTCCAAGTTCTGCTGAGTGTGTCCCAGTGATTGTAAGCTCAGGGGTGTCTGGTCCATCTGCAACAGACGCAAGAACGGCTTCTTTATTACCACTGAACGTAAAGCATAAGATTGAAGCCTTATTCTGAGAGGTGACTGAGTACTTACACGCAATGCTCAGTGTGTAGCTGCCGGACTGAGAGCTAAGGCTGTTCTTTGCCTCACACCGATACGTTCCACCATCATTTCTAGTCACACTGATGATGGTCAGGGTGGCATTATCCTGGGAGATTGTGATCCTGTCATTGCTGTGGAGAGTTCGCTCATCCTTAAACCACAACCGTGACTCAACAGTGCCTTTAACATCACATGTCAGTGTCACAGTGTCAGTGTATTCTATCGGGTTGGGAGCGTTGCTTGTTACGGTGACGCTGGTGATTTTCTCTGTCAATAGAATGAAAATAGAATCATACAATTATAAATCAGTGGTTATGCTGAACTTTTTGACAAAGTTATTCTTTCTGTTTCTGTTTTAATAGTGTTGTAGCTCAGTGGTTAGAGCACTCTAACGCAAGTGAGAGACCTGGGTTCGATTCCTGGGCAGAGCGAAATGTTGGGCAAGTTTCCTTACTCCACACACACTCACACACACCTCTGTTTATCCATCAGTGAGTAGAAACCCGGTTGTTAGTCGATTGGTGGATCAATTTTCCGGGGGTAATAATTCCTTTCAAATAATAATACTAATAATTTGGTCACTTCAATCCATACACAAGGACTGACACAGTGGACCTTCTTCAGAGAATTCTAACCCCATCAGAAGGCATTGCTGGAGTCCATCAAACTGTAATCTGCCTCATAGCGCAGTGTGATCAGCAGTCGCTGCTCGTCAGTGATGACATGACTGTGGCTGCTTGGTTTTCGGACTCGAAAACAGACCAACTTCTTTTCAACTTCCACTCTTAATTCTACATCCGCTGATGTTGATAACTGTTCATAACTTATTAAATTGCAAAACTTCGCTGCATTTGAAACACACGAGTTGGAGCTGAACATCAATGCAATGCATTTGCTACCACTATACAGAAGAGTATATTGAGCTCCCAACGTAGAAAAGCTAGAAATATCATGACCACATCATGATAGCACATCACAGCACAGTACGTTCACTTACCCTGTAAAGTTACGTTTAATGTTGTCTCATTCACTCTTAAGGTAATGTTGTTACGAGCCTGACAAGTGTAAATCCCACGGTCAGTCGGGCTTATTTGATGAATGGTGAAATTTGAACTTGTATGTGGCAGAACGGTGCCATTAAATATCCATTGATACTGAGCTTCTGGGTTTGACTGAGCAGAACAAGACAATGTTAGAGAGTCTCCAAGTTCTGCTGAGTGTGTCCCAGTGATTGTAAGCTCAGGGGTGTCTGGTCCATCTGCAACAGACGCAAGAACGGCTTCTTTATTACCACTGAATGTAAAGCATAAGATTGAAGCCTTATTCTGAGAGGTGACTGAGTACTTACACGCAATGCTCAGTGTGTGGCTGCCGGACACAGAGCTAAGGCTGTTCTTTGCCTCACACCGATACGTTCCACCATCATTTCTAGTCACACTGATGATGGTCAGGGTGGCATTATCCTGGGAGATTGTGATCCTGTCATTGCTGTGGAGAGCTCTCTCATCCTTAAACCACAACCGTGACTCAACAGTGCCTTTAACATCACATGTCAGTGTCACAGTGTCAGTGTATTCTATCGGGTTGGGAATGTTCTGTGTTACGGTGACGCTGGTGATATTTTCTGTAAATAGAATGATAATAGAATCATACAATTATAAACCAGTTGTTATGCTAAACTTTTTGACAAAGTTATTCTTTTGGTTTCTGTTTTAATAGTACTGTAGCTCAGTGGTTAGAGCACTCGCCAGAGTGAGAGACCTGGGTTCGATTCCTGGGCAGAGCGAAATGTTGGGCAAGTTTCCTCACTCCACACACACTCACACACCTCTGTTTATCCATCAGTGAGTAGAAACCCGGTTGTTAGTCGATCGGTGGATCAATTTTCCGGGGGTAATAATTCCTTCAAAAAATAATACTAATAATTTGGTCACTTCAATCCATGACTGTTTGTGGGACACTGCTGTGCGCATTTGGCTGCCGTGGTTCGTCCACAATATATTCAGTCACTACACTTTACAGTATATTCTGTGAAGCGCTTTGAGACGTCTCGAAGACGTGATAAGGCACTGTATCAAATACAAGGATGATTACAGTATCATGATCTGTTTGCCACATACCCAAGGACTGACACAGCGGACCTTTATCAGGAGAATTCTAACCCCATCAGAAGGCATTGCTGGAGTCCATAACACTGTAATCTGCCTCATAGCGCAGTGTGATCAGCAGTGGCTGCTCGTCAGTGATGACATGACGGTGACTGCTTGGATTCCTGAACCACAAACAGCCCAACTTCAGGGTCACCACTTCAGTTTGCATCAGCTGCTGTACATGTTTGTTATGTGCGAAGCCTTCCTTTCTTGTGCTGAAGACAATCCATGTCTTGGAAGTAAATTCTACATTATAACAGGACCCCCTTAAAGAGAGTTCCATGTTTCCGTGTCATGTTTTCCTTCATTGGTATCAATCCTTTTCACTTTGCTGTAATAATCAATAACCACATTCAGCGAACTGACCGTCCCGAATACTGATCCAAGAATAATACTGAACGAACTAATAGTGACTCAACCCTTAGACTAATAATAATAATCAGTGCATTTGATATTGAGCTTTTCACGTCTTCCAGACATCTCAAAGCTCTTCACAGAATACACTGTAAAGTGAATTGACTGTTTATTTGTGGGCGAAACGAGGCAACCAATTTTGCACAGCAATGTCCCACAAACATTGAATCACCAAATAATATTTTTTTTTCTTGAGGGATTATTGTCAGGCGTGTGGGGTAAGGACACTTTCACCCTTCCAGGAATCAAACCCCGGTCTCTCACTTGCAAGGCGAGTGCTCTAATCACTGAGCTCCAGGATTCCCTACAGGACTGACCTAAAACTAACCTGTCTCTAATACTGACCAGCGTCCGACCCTTATACTGAACAACATAAGGTTCGGATGAGACATTAAATCCTGCCTTCTGTCCAGATGGACGTTAATAATAATCATTGCATTTGATATAGCTCCTTATCATGACTTCGAGACGTCTCAGAGCACTGGGCGAAACGTGGCAACCAATTGCGCACAGCAGTGTCCCACAAACAGTCATGGATTGAATGATAAATGTATTATTTGTTTGTGTCCCTGAACAATATAGTGTGTCAGCCCGGCTCAATTAGTGGCACTCTCACACATGAATCAGAAGGTTGTAGTTTCAAGCCATTGTAAGGACAATGTAAGGAATTATTACCCCCAGAAAAGCAATCCGCCAATTGACTAATAACCAGGTTCCTACTTACTGCGAAGGTAAATAGAGGTGTGTGGAGTAACGAAACGTTTCACCTGCCGGGAATCAAACCCCGGTCTCTCACTTGCGAGGTGAGCGCTCTAACCCCTGAGCTACAGGACTCCCACTATTCGAAAATAGAATGGAGTTCCTTCTCCTGGTGTCCTGGCCGACAATCCTACAAATAAAATCAGCCACTCACTCCAAGGCAGTTGGTGGGGAGATTGCTGTGCGCAAAATTGGTTACCGTATTTTCCCAGAAAATACACACAACTATATCACTTCACAGTATCCTATGAAGTGCTTTGATGTGTCGGTGATGTGATAAAAGTGCCATATCAAATGCAAAGATTATTCTCATTATTATAATGAATTACGATCCAAGCCCCTTGATAATTCAGAAGAATGGGTCATGGATTATATTATTTTAAACCACCTCTCTGCCTTCCCTAACCCCTACCCCACCCTATCCCACCCCTCCCCCCATGCTCGGGTCCTAACCCCTGACTGTCCAGCGCCTTAGGACGTCCTCACGACATGAAAGGTGCTCTATAAATGTAATTTTTTTGTTGCTGTTTTACTTTGAGATAGACCATCGTGGCCTGTTTCAGTCCTGCACATTCTTATGTACATGGAATGATATAAAAAGAGTATTGTAAAGGGGGATAAAGAGAGCATGTGGGGTTGATTCACTCCCTTTGGTGATCTAACTTCTTGAGATTTTAAAGTACTGTTAACTATCACATAACATTCTTTCTCCTTAAAAATACTCTGTTGAACTCTCCAAATATTCACTTTTGACAGTAAAGTTGCAACTTAGTTGGAAATAAAATGCTACAAACATGGCAGAGACGCAGCACTGCTTATAGTTTTACTGTAAATTAAAAATGGCACAAAATTGTAGGTACATTTTATGACGTAACAGAACAAATTTTACGTCACAAGGTCAATCCGGTGGCCAGGAATCTCTGCTCCTGTCATTCTTCATTCATTTTCACAAAATCAAACACAAAACTTACCCATCAACACTCAGTACTGTTAGAAACGTTTGGCAACTTTAAACAACAACAACTTGGATTTAATAAAGAATAAAATAACACATTTCTCAGCAGCAAATGAACAAGTGATAAACTTACATTTGATATGGAGCCTTTCATGTCAGGAGGAAGTCTCAAAGCGCTTCATACGATTTACTGTGTATTTGTAGGCAAACGCAGCAGCCAAATTGCTGCTGTCCCACAAACAGTCACAAAACTTTTATTTGAGGGATTGTTGGTCAGGAAATCCACATTAGGATTCCTCTGTTTTCGAATCGTGCAGTGGATGAGCTTAATAATCATAATAATATGGTCATTCACTCCACGGATGTTTGTGGGACATTGCTATGGACACTGTCTGCCACAGTCACACATACACATAGTCACAGCACTTTACAGTAAATCCTATGAAGCACTTTGAGGTATCTTGACAATGTGATAGTTGCTGTGCCAAAGGCAACGAGATACCAAATGTAAGGATATGATGGATTACATATTACATACCGATGATAATGATTTCTCTTGTGGCTGACCTGTACCTTTGGGTTACACTGTTAAAGGCTGACACGTGTGATTCCCAGCGTTCTTCGGGGTAATATTGGGAATGAGAAGGTCCGAGTCATTTTGTAGAAAAGAGGAAGTATTGAAATACCATTGAAATTCACAAGGTGGGTTTGATTCCGCAGAACACGAGAGATTAACAGTTGATGCTGAACTAATTAATTGTAAATGTGGATTGATTGATACGTTGGGATATTCTGGTCCATCTAAAATAGATTCACAGGTTGGTTCAAACACAATCTCCACAGCGTTTTATACAACATCAACGGAGCAGATCACCATGGATCTAAAACTACCCATTGTAAACAGTCAGCGCTACGGGTGGAGGTATCTGTTGGGAGAAACTAAGGTTAAAAGTAAATAAGTATAAAACGTTTGCTTCAATAGAAAGGCCACTATTCTTGTAATTATCAACTTGGCATAACAGAACCCAAAGTGTTGAACATTGTAACGTATTAAATCGAGAAGCGATATGAATCTATCGTTTTATGTGTTACTGAATTTCGAATTGGCCGAATGCTTTCATAATTTGTAACAAACTTCCCCCCCGGCAAGTTTACTCCAGAAAGGGATTTCTCCATATGTTTCTGTTGTAGATATGGAATAAAATAAGAAGCTGATATCCGAAAATGTGATTTCTATACTTATTACTTTAAGACCTCATTAATATCAACCACAAACAGACTGAGAAGATTATAATAAAGAGTTGTCCGTGTGCACCCACTCACCCTATAAAAGATTGATGCTAAGACCAGGTGCCCATTTAACACCACTTGACAAAAGGTCACTTTGTGCTGTTGCCTATGGGCTCCAGTGTTACAACACGTCAAAGTGACCATTAGTCAAGTATCAATGTATTGCCACCTCTATCTCAATCAAAGTACAAGTCGTGATGGTAATATCTATTTTAAACATTGACTGCACAGCAAAGCAGCTAAAGTGCCAATCGTATTCAGCGTATGTGTGTGTGAGCAGAACATTTTCACAATTTAGTCAGGCGGGTTGGCAATTAATTGATGAAGATTAGAAACCACAAATAGTGTTTGATCGGGTCACTTACAGTTAACATTGAGTAGATAAGAATCACTTGTCTTTCCATTCATTACGTTGTACCCAAAACACGTATATTCTCCTGTGTCAGACCTTAAAATTCCAGGTATAGTGAGAGTTCTATTGCCATCACTTAGCGCAATCCTTGTGTCAACATAGATACCATCATTGTCCTTATACCACAGATATGAGACGGCAGTGCCCACTGCAGTGCAGGTCAGAGCCACACTGTCATTATGTTCTACCGGAATAGTGACATTGGATGAAATAGTGGGCTTGGAAATTGGATCTCGCAAAACAGGACATTCATTTAGTGTGTAATATATTTGTTAGAGGACACAAACCACAGTGACCAAGAATCAGGCGAAATTGGACTATTCATTCATTCAACAACAACAACTTGGATTTATATAGCGCCCTCCACGCCGGACGGCGACTCAGAGTGCTTTACAGTGGCGGAGCCTGACTCCAAGCCGGGGGGAGAGAGGGTTTATGATTCATTCATTATTCAAACTGTAGTTTCCATTACCTTCATGTTAATAAAACACATATTTAATTGTTGCTCACAGTTGCACTGAGGCTCCGATTCAGTTCCTCACTCTCTTTGTTCCTGAATAAATCTTGAGCCACCAGCACAAAAATGTCAGGTCCTTTTGGGTTTGGTCGCCCGGTGGTTGAGTATCCAAACCAAACTGAGAACT